AACCAACATTGTTAGGGAGTCATGATGCTAAAATCCACATTAGGACTCGTATTTGTCTTTTTTAAACAACTGATGTTGTAACTTTTAACAGTGCTACTCTCGAACTACTTTTTGAAAGCTATGAGAACGGTCATTGAAATGCGAACTAGAATCAAGTTAAACTGGGTAACACTTAGAGGTTAAAGAGGTCATCGTTACAAAGTCAGTCAGATGTTGCAGAAAATTCAGATGGAGACTTTTTTGTATTAGGTGTATGTGAGACTGGAAGCCGCCGTTGTCTAGTAGCTAGATGCTCGCCGAATGGAGCCGTAATTTTTGTTAAATCACCTTGCCTCTTAGGTCGACCCAGACTTCAATTACTACCAGGTGGAGTACTGGGAGGTAAAGGTGATCGGCGTGAAGTTGACCACATCACTCATTAGGTACCGATTGATCTATAAAATATAGATCTAGCTCTAAATGCTTATAACGCATGAAAACGTGGAAGTGGGTCCTTTACGTTGATTCACTTGATACGTCAGAGTGTTACCTGCTTGCAGTGATGGCAGTCAGTCATTACAGTCTCCTGATTCCGTCAGACTCTGCCTGACTGTTTAACTTGCTACAATTTAAAACATTAATGGATCCGTTCTCAGAAGCCATATGTGCATCAGGCTTTTGATTCTAGACATAAGCGCCGGAAACTGAAAGCACAGGTACTTTGAGCTCCCCTCCCCTTTTCATCCCTAAGTAAAATGTAGATGAGACACTCAGCCCGGCCTCCGCCCCAAATGAATCTGGGAGGGGGGGGGGTGGGGGTTGCTTAGCCCCGACCCCTAAACATGTGTAAGGGAACTACGGGGTTGCCCATAACTATGGCCTACTTTGGTTGTTCATTATATTTTGTTTAAAAAGTTTTGAGCCGAAAATGGGACATTCTAAACAAGTTACCCCCCCCCCCCCCCACCCACCCCTACCTCCCGCCCTGACACACACAAATCTAGAATTTATTATTATTACTTTCTATTACAGAGCTAATACATATTGTGAAGATGAGATAATATAACAACTGTATAAGCCATACTGATTAATTATTACTAAAATGTTTTTCTTTAGATTTCCCTTTTAGCTTGTATATTTGTGTATATACTTATATACATGGTATTATATTCTCGAGCTTATTCCTTGAATTATTGGTGGGGGGAGGGGGAGGTGGGTACTTAGCAAAAGGCCAGGAACACATTAAAAAAACGGGACTGTCGCGAGTAAAAACGGGGTGGTGACGTAATGTCAAGCTGACGTCATCAGCCCCTTGTCTATTTAAAGTAGGTCATGCCATAACTATGTATAAGCGTTTCACATTTCAAATTATTTCAAATACAGTGCTACGGCTGCCGTGGTGTAACGGCTAGATGCTCGTCTGTGGATGCTAAGAGAAGTAAAGGCGGCCGGCGTGATGTTGACCACATCACTCATTGAGGTCTTTACAAATATGACTCTAGCCTCACGTGTCAGATGAGCCTTTAACTTTAAAGGGATCTTTACTTTAATTATATTGATACATTTATTTGCCATTCAGCACATTCTTATTATTATTGCGACCTAAACAAGGCTCAAGCTCCTTAAGCCGCCACTCAGAAATTATAAGGAGACTGAGATCTCCCCAGTCCACCATGATGTCTTGGTGGCTGCGGGCCTGGTTTAAGCCTCATGTTCTGGACCAACTGCCAAGGGCTAGGTGAGGTGGTTAACATCACGCCGACCGCCTTTATATCCTATGCATTTGTGTGGTTCCAGCTTTAGAAAGGTGTCGCGTGCAAGTCGTGCGCTGGAGTTCACCAGTATTGAATAGCGCAAAAAAGACATCAGGAGTAGTTACATATTGTTGTTAGCAGATTGAGCTCCAAGGAGTGGCAGCCAAGAAGTCAAAGTAAGTGGACGCGTATGTCCGAGTATGGTTCATTCCTAGTTTGAGATTTACCACGGGGTCAAATAATGAAGACCAGCTTATATGCTAGGACGCAAACTGTCAAGCCTACCTGAGCCGTGGTTCTCAAAAGACTGCAAGAGAACTGGAATCAGCGTTCCTGCTGCACTTTAGAAGTGTATTCTGGCTCATCAGTATTTTTGCTGCATATTGGAATCAGTCAAACTGTTACTGTTTTCTCGAAAATCGAAGCGATGACCTATTGAAGTGTCTTGATGAAAAAAAAAAGCGGTGATTATACCTAGTCTAATCATCATCGGGAGCGAGTGTGAGGACGTTGGGAGTGATAAGCGCTATATTGCATGCTGGTGAGTTCTTTTTGCATTTTTTCATTTTCGCTGCATTATCAGCATTGAATTTGTAATATATGGTTGGTACGTTCACTCCATGGTGTTGTTCAGTTGGAAGAGTTACGCATTTTGAAACTCGATAGTTACTGTGGCCATTGCCCAGTTGTAGTCAGGGTTACAGATAGTTGTCACCGTTACTTTGAGAAATGTTTGATTGTTCGAATCACACTGACCTTAGCGTTCAGCCTGACATGTGTTGAATTTCGTTGGGAAGAATACTGCACCTGCGCAAGTATCAGTGGGACCCCTCGCAGTCCTGAGCCCTGCGCCATCTACGGCTGAGACTACCTAACATACACTTGTGCGCTACAGTTTTCAACACTAGCAGCGGCAACAGCCGTGACAACAACAACAATAACAATAATAACAAGACAACCAGTGGTAGTGATAGAACGCACCCGTATGTCAGTCCTGATCTAATGTAGAACTTTTTTGACATTCCCTTATTTGTTGTAACTGCCCACTGGGTACGAGGGGATGTCAATAAGTAAGTCACAAATGGTTATGGGATGGCAGGAAAATATAGTTGGTTGTTTTAAAAGGTGCCTTTAGGTGACAGCAACATTAAACTTTATGTCTCCGTTAGCTAGGTGGCGCTGGGTGTTGCATGCGCATTCGCAACACAGAAACAAAATTGCGACTGCACTTACGGAGTGTACCCTCAAAGAACAATGTGCTGTTGTGCAGTTTTTTTTTGTTGTTGTTGTTGTTGGGGGGGGGGGGGGGGGGGGGACATATGCCAGCAGTTTTCTCAAAATAATGTTTTCGCACATGTGCGTTACTGTTATCAGGATACTTTCAAAACTATTGGGCCAAATTCAAAGAAATTTGGAGGACATGCTCTTCAATAGAGGTTGTTTCAAACGTGCCATTTTCAAGGGCCCAACACATGAGGTCAGCATGTAACTCGAGTTATGATTTTATGAAACTTTAGGAAAATTGTGGACATCAATATAAGAAAACCTAACACAGATACAGAGATGACAGAGGTTCAGATTATAGCTCAACCATATCTGAGCAGCTACACAAACTTTCAGCTCCATACATTTAAAAGTTTTTTAGCAGGACTGAAAACGCTACTGGAACAAATGTTCTCATCACTTATATATATATATATATATATATATATATATATATATATATATATATATATATATATATATATATATATATATATATACACCTTTATCAGGTGGAAATAAGTATGAAATAAACACACCTAACTTAATTTCTCTGTGATTTATTGTTTGTATGATAGATAAGGAAGGTCCTTGCAAAATTTTATAAAGATCTGACCATATTAAGATATATTAAACCATCAGGAAAAACTTGCATAATTTATGATTTTCTAGCTTGTTCCCTCCCCTTAATTCTGCCTTCACTAAGTTGTGGTCTGATGTCCTGTCGTGTCATTATGTGACATAGGGCTCGCAGTCTATTACTCAGTTCCGTTCTTTCCTATACAACCCCTTCAATGTCATGTATGGAATCGGGTGCATCACCTTTGCTCTCTCTATCTCTCAACGACTTTCTCCCACCCCCCCCCACCCCTCACCCGATTCGAGTGTCTCTTTAGTAATTCCCTGCTCTTTTTTTCTTAGGATGAGTCCAATAATAATAGCCCTACCTTAGTTGTCTTATAACTGTTGTTACCACTGGTTGCCCGAACATTGCTCTTTTTTTCCTTTATCCCTCTTAAATTAACCAAGGAAATAATATTAACTTTAAAAACACTTCTTCTGCCTTTCTAACCCCTAATGGACCAAAGGCCCCCTATTAACTCACACGAAGTCGTTATACCCTTCACTATCGAATGCAGCGCTCCATGTGTCTTCCCCATCATTTTAACTTTACTTTCTAGCTCCCTTCTCCTGAGTGTTTTTTTTTTTTTTTAATTGTTTTTTTTTTATATTTTATTTTTATATATTTTTTAATATTTTTACTTCCCCAGAGTTTCACTTTAAAGACATTCTAGTTATACCATTCTCAGATTTTCTAAGCGTGTTCGAAATACTAATAGGGAATAAAACAACAACAATAAAAAAAAAAAACGGCAACCTTAACAGACACTTTGCACTGAGTATCGGTACCTATTCAAAACACTTGGTGGTGATACAAGCAACTTTTTTAATTTAAAAAAAAAAAATAATTATAATAACCTGACAATAACAATATAATCAGCATCAGCAAAACGAATAACATTCACAACACAAGAGCAACCACATTGCTGTGTACACAACTAAAAAAGCACTTGTAAAAACGACCATGACATCAAGCAAAAAGAACAGCGGCAAAAACACAAAGAGGGTGGCTACTTAGCAAAACTAACTTTGTCAACAAAAGCGTATAATTCCAAACCAAGTGTTCACATAAAATATACACGAGGCTATTCTATTCTCTTTAAAAATAATACAATTTTCTTTGTACTACCAAAACTTTTTTTTAAATGATCACTGGTCACACATCGCCCATCGAGCTCTCTTTTGTGTCTGCCACGTTTCAGTGTTAATTATCATCCACTGACTTTTCACCAGAAAAACAGAAAACCTTAGTCAGATAAATATCTATTTGTGTATTCTTTTTGTCTATTGGTCAGGAACAGGTGAACAAAACGGTATTGTCAATGTCTTAAATAAATAGTTGGTGTGTTTTCAAGTCAGACGCAGTCAAACTTTCAGGTGACCATGACGTGTACGATGTTGTTTCTACTGACGGGTAATGTTTGTGTCCGTAACCTGTGTTGACCTAGCCGTAAGTGAGTACTGAGTGTAGTCCTGGGAAGTAAAGGCGGCCGGTGTGATGCTGACCACATCACCCACCAAGTGACGATTGGTCTATAAAATATAGGAGGATGCAAGTCCTATACTCTTATAAACCAGTCAGCATTTATTGCGTGCTTGCCGCTGAAGGTGGGGCGGAGCACTTATGGGAGTGTCCCGAGTGCTGTGATGTCGATTCCGAATTTAACATTTTACATGTATTACGTGAGTTGGTAATTATCAAACCATCCGCCATTACTTTCAATGGTAAGGAGCGGCTAGCCAAACGAACAGTTAGATCGTTGGGTTCTCAAGCTGGAGACCCAGGTTCGAATCCTCGGTAAGGATAGGGATTTTTTTTTCTGTCGGGGACAAAATCCTTACCTGCACAGTCGTGGCGACAGCACCAGCCATACGGCCGTAGAACCTCAGGCTCAAAGACCCCCTTACACCACAAAAGTGGTAAAATAAAGGCAGGTAATTGGCAGTTAACTTCTGATAGCATGTCCGTGTGCTTATTGTACGCTAATTCGACTTGGGGGCCTGGGTATGTTTTTATTTTTAAAACATCTGGATGATGGAGATGCAAACTACAACCGCTTAGATATACCTGAGTATGTTAGCCAAAACCATTCTGATGCAATACATTTTCTAGACAAGGACGACATAATCCGAAATGAATTGAGCTTAGATTGAGAATTCGTTTTCCTGGAGATTCATCAAACAAGCAACAACCCCAGCTAGAAAGGCAGACATCCAGTCAGACAGACAGTTATACAGAATGATAGACAGCGACAACCAGTCAGAAAGACAACTGGACTGGCAGCTAGGAATACTGACAGCCAGACTGACTGAACAACTGACAGACAGATAGTCTGACAAACAGTTAGACCCAGAAACAGAATGCCTGACAGTGAACTAAACCTAATGACAGACTGACAACCAGACAACCAAACAGCGAGACAATCTGATAGACAGACCCAAAAAGCTAGACATATAATCTGACAGACATCTAGACTAACCAACTTCCCAACCAAGTAACTGATCGCCAACAAGGAACCAACCACTCAACCCGTGAAATAATCGTCAGTGGGCTAACAAAAAAGAAGGGGGGGGGGGGAAGCAATCAAGTCCTTGTGTATATTATGAAAGCCCCTTAATTCCGCTCTACCTATGAGCCAGTCCTGACCCACAGGTGTGAGACCCGGGCGATGGCAACAGCCCAAAGAAGCCAGTCGGAAATGAAGTATATGAGAAAGGTGGTGCAAGTGATAAAAAAGGGGCAAGGTTCAAAACCAGACAATACGTCATGATCTTGAAACTCACGCGTCTAAACTGGAGTGAATCAGTCACAATTATGATGGTTTGGACATGTATGCAGAATGGGAGAGAATCGGCCACGACAACAGACATTGGAGGCCAAGAACCAGGAAACCAGACCTCTGGGAGGGCTGAGGGTTCGATGGGAAAACAATACCCGACATGATCTGACTGACAGAGGACCGGAATGGATCAAAGCCAAAAACAGAAGACTGCTGATTAGAAGTGTGGCGATCTCTCTGGCAAACCTCCAGAAACCAGGGTACAAGACAATCGACTAAGTAAGTAAGTAAAACCTCTTACAAGATAATTGTCTATTCTGATTTCCTCTTTTCCCTTACGTTAAATACCTTAAACAACTATTTATCTTCAGTTTCGTTGGTCATCCTCTCTCCCGTTGGTGCCCAGCCATATATCTCAGGATGTGGAGTTGCTCTCCAGGACGTACCTAACCCATCATCAGACACCTGCACGGCCTTCTTTAGGTGTTACAACAATAGACAGTTCAGCCTCAGATGCCCATTGGGACAAGCGTTCCATTACGATAGGGCCAGATGCAGGTACATTGTCCAACAGCTCCAAGAGGCTGTAGTGTGTAATTTTGTTGTTAAGGTGTTTTCACTTCTTCTACTACTTCTTCCTCTTCTTCTTTTGGGTTCGCGGACTGTAAACTTCGACATAAAGTCTTTGTAGTTTGTCTACTTCTGTACTTTGGTCTTGTTCCAGAACTTAAATTTAGCGCGCTTGTGTTTATTTCGCAGAGCTATTATATGTCTGTCTCTTAATATGGCTAAATCGTTCATATGCCTCTCACCTCACCTTCCCACAGCTCCTATTTGATTGTTTTATGTTGCCATGATATACGATTTATCCTTTTTTTATCCACATCTTTATAGACTTAGTTGGACACTAATTGTTTCAAAAAGATTTAATATGGTTGGTCACATTTGATATTTCGACAATACTCATTTATACTGAGCTTTTGCTTTTTCTAGGTGTAATATTTGTCTCTTGCTGTTTCAAACATATCAGAAAGATCCAAGGCTATCTTTACGTGCGACTCTCTTGTGTCATCATTTATTTTACGCCCCATCTTCCCTCAGCTGAACTTAAGTATCGCCATTCGTGTATAGTTAACCAACATTATGTTATGGAAGTATTTATTTCAGGCTTGAACTGTACTGAAGCATTAGTACTATAATATTTTAACGCCAGAAGGCTGATCTAATGCTAGTTTTAAAATGATAAAAGCTACAACTATTTTAAAATTGTTTATCACTATTTATTTTTTGCCATTCCCAAAACTATGCGGCCCTGTGCATCTGCACATTTTGAACAGTGCCCAAATACAACCTTAGCTATACATTTCGATTGTTATATTGATATTTCTTCTTCTTCTTCTTTTTTGCGTACACCAGCTGTATACTCTGGCGGAAAGTTCTGGTTTCTCGTCCATTACTGAACTGCAGTCCAGCTCCAGAACCTGAGTGTTGCGTGTGCATCAGTTTTACAGATCTCATTCTCTTGAATACAGACTGTTGGTTCCTTGCCTCTCCGGCAGATGTACTCCGACTTCAAAGGAAGCTCCCCAATTAGTCGACTCTTACGACATGCTTTTGGCGAGGCAGTGGGTCTATTCTTGTTTTCCACACGATGGGGCCCCGGAATCCACACGGGGGTATTGATATTTAACTTCTGCCCTATCTCGTATTAGAATCTGTCCTTGTGTAGCGGCTACCAGCTCGCCTGCAGATCTGATGGTTCACAACCACACTTTTGTTTCACAGATGACATGGCTTTCAGGTCAACCTAGCCTTACAATGACCACCAGGTAAAGTCCTGGGAAAGTAAAGATGACCGACGAGATGCTGACCACATCCCCCCCCCCCACCAAGTGCCGATTGTTCTATAAAATATAGGTCTAGCCCTATGTGCTATGCGTAAAGGTCAGCATCTAAGGCTGGTGGGTTTTGAACGTAGTTTAATAATTCCGACACAGTGGGTTTGCTATCAGCCACTTTGTCTGGACACTGAAATGTTATAAGCATTTTACCGATCACAGAGAAACGTCAAATCACTGCACACAAAACTGCCTAGTAAGCCCACAAACTGCCCAAAATGGTGAGGATTTTTGCTTGACTTGACTTGACTTTTTTATTTTTTGTCAATTTAACTGGACCACGTTCTACCAGCTACCCATCGAGGGTAAGCTTTCGGTTATATTGTGGTCGATAAGTTTGCGTCAAAATTAACAGTCTAAAACTGCTCGCCACCAAGTAGCCCTCAGAAGGATTCCTAAAGTGTTGATGCGATGACCTAGGCCACTTTCCGATCGGCGACGATGATTGTTGATATATGTATATATAAAAATATAAATGTAGGGCGTCGCTCTCGCCACGGTTTGCCTGAAAGAAACTGGATCTTTTGCCAGCTCTCCCGCCCAGTGTACTTTCATATTGAAGAAGTCATTTATGTCTTGCGCTCATCTACGTTATGGTCGGCCCCTGCCCCTCCTTCCTGGAACCATGCCTTCTGCTTTTTTTTTTTTTTTTTTTTTTTTTAAATTGACATGGCGCTTGAAATGACCAATATATTTCAACTTCCGAGACAAGAAGCTGTTTATTAGCCACTCTTCCTTGATGTTCAAATCTTTTAGGTCTCACACACAAACATACACGCGCGCGCGTTAGACCTGAATTTTTGTCGCTAAACGCACACAGACTAAAATAATCAAGCCGGTCTCTGGTAACAAACTATACAACTTTCATCAAACAGGCCGGAGAATGAAGTCGACTGTCCATTACAGCTACAGAGATACCAGGCCCCAGCCGTGCCGCCTCACCTTCGGTCACCTCAGGTAGGTACTTAAACAGTAAAGAGTGTAACAGAAACACCGGTGTATGTTAAATTGTACGGGTCGTTCACTGGATTACAAAAGACATTGAAGTTCAAACTAGAGACAACATTGCAGATATAGTTGATCTATTGCAGGCGAACGAAAGAAGAAGGAGAGTATAATGTCATCATCATCGTTGAAGGTTAATAGTTAAAGGTAAAAGGATTCACTTCATTGCACTGGATTTCATCCCATATGTCTCGGTCTCTCTACACAAAACAGATAGCCGCACACAAAGCACGAACTTCGCAGCTCCTTTGACGATCCAGATGAATCTATGTAAAAATGGCAACCCTGAACCGAATGACACAGTAGGGAGACGAACCGAAAACCTTTAGAATAAGAGGTAAACGACGTAACCACTTCGCCACGGAGACTCCTCTTTCCACCGTCTATCAATATCATCATCATCATGAACAACCTGACCAACACCAACAGAGTCACCGTCATCACCATCATTATCATCACAATTAGTTTCATCATTATCATTAACGTTATCCCCATCAGAGTTATCATCTTTATCATCAACATCATCATCATCCTCGACAGTCTCATCATCATCAGTATTATCATGAAAAGCCTCATTATCATCACCCTCCGCATATTTTCAAAAACCTCATCATCATAGCCTCGTGTTCATCTTGGAAATTATTACCATCAGCATCATTTTTAACAGCCACAGAATCATCAACTTTATCATCCCCAACTGTCTCATCCTCAAAAGATATACATCAGTCTTTATTTCGCCTAGGTTTTACATTCATTCTACTTCTTCTTCTTAAAGTCCATGCGTGTGGCTTTCGTAGTCATGTCTGTCTCTAACTCTGACACAGATGATCCTTCAAGACATAATGTCAAACTGTCCAGTATCTTTTCTCTCCGTCTCCCCTGCCTATCCTCCCTTCCGACGCTTCTATGTCATGATGTATTTAAGTTTTCCCCTTCTCATCACATGATCACACTCCTTCAGATGACGTAGATCCCATTCGCAATGAGCTAACTTGCTTGGGCATTCCCTTCCCTTCTAAAAACAGCACCTGAAAGCGAGTTGCCATTCTGAGATCGTGTTTCTTCCCCATGGCAACCTATGGATGTGAAGATGAAAAAAAAAAATCAGAGCTTTTGGACTGAAATGTTACAGAGAAATGCATAGAATATTATAAACCAAGAAAAAGAAAAACAATGACATACTACATGATCTGAGCATCGAGGAGAATTGGCTCATAAACAGCATCCTGCCCTGAATGCTGGGGTATTTTGGTTAGGTTGAACGACATGGTGGCCTAGAGAGAATGGTTATGGAGGAGCTCGATATTCTGTAGAGGACCTACCGATTAATGATGATGATGTAGTTCCAAAAGAGTGCTTTGTTTGGTTATGTGGCATGATTATGTCATTTGTGTCCTTGTTTTTTCCTTTTTCAAAAACTTTCCATGATGATCATCATGGTGGTGGCGATTTCGATTAAGATGTTGGTGATAATGATGATGAATGTGATGATGATGATGATGAGGATGGTGGCGATTATAATGATGTTGGTGATGTTAATGATGATGAATGTGATGATGATGATGGTAATGATGATGATGGTGGCAATTATAATGATGGTGGCAATTATAATGGTGGTGGTGGTGATGTTAATGATAATAAATGTGATGATGATAATAATGATGGTAATTATGATGATGGTGGTGGCGATTACAGCGATCATGGTAAAGATGATGAATGTGATGGTGATGTCGATGATGCATTCATTATTGCTGCTTTTTATTATCCCCTCAACCGTTTCAGGACAGAGACGTGGAGGTGCGGGTCATCCACCTGGCACCTGGTGTCAACCCCAACAATCTGCAGTTCTTCACCAATGGTCAGCAAGTTCAAGTGACCAACAATCATGCACCACAGGTAACAGTCTCATCGCCAGAATATACTTGATAATTTTTTTCTTCTTTCATTCGCTATGCCGGCGTAGTGGGTAATGATCAGACAGACAGATTGGCTGGATATGCACCACTGGGTGGTCAATTGATACATGACAAGGCAGATGTAGTCAAGGCCCTTTGAGAACAAGCAACGGAATTATAGAGAAAGAAGATTATGATTTGAGAGAATGAGGTACCTGGGTGGGACCAGAAGGTTTGACGTAAGGCGTAGAAGTATGTCTCATTATCAAGTGTCTTGCCAGCTGGCGTTCATGCATCTTCATAGATTTCGGTCTGTGGTGTAAGGGATCAATTCCACTGATGATATTCCTCCGTGCCATTGTCTTAGGTCATCCACCATAATTTCTCTTGGTCTGCCTCTGCCTCTTCTACCAGTGGTAACGATATTTCCAGTGCTCCTTTTCTCATCACGTGACCAGATAACTTTGTCTCCTTCTCATTGTTGTATATAATGTTCTACTTTCATTAGCTATTTCTAGTCAATCATTGTTAGCTATTCTAGCAGTCAAAGTTATTCGCAATATTCTTCTCAAGAACCACATCTCAGTCACCTCCAGGCAAATATGTCCATATCACCACAATAGTCTGCATCTCAGGATAATTCTTTTTCCGATGGCATGCAACAGTACTCATGTTGTTTAGGCCATTTTTGTTTTTAACGCTACAGTAATAGAGGCATTGTAGTCAGCAGCGGCACAATAGTAGACATCGTATGTTGGGTGTCTGCATCTGTGTTGCTATACCCTGTTCTAACTGTTAGAACATTTAACTCCAACGCTAAATAGGTAATGCGTGTGGGTCGGAAACAAGGGCAGCGACTAAAACGGTTACTAAAGAACTACAAATGTTTGTTAACTGGTCACTGTGTAGACAAGTTGGATTATAATAGTATGAGAGAATCATCATTACGTAGGTTAGGGCGAGAACTAGGCACATTTCTGAGAACATAATGTGGGATCCAGATGTGGGATCTAGATGTGGGGTCAAGATATGGGGTCAAGATGTGGGGTCAAAATGTGGGTCAAGATGTGGGGTCAAGATGTGGGATCAAGATGTGGGATCAAGATGTGGGGTCAAAATGTGGGTCAAGATGTGGGGTCAAGATGTGGGATCAAGATGTGGGGTCAAGATGCTGACTTTAAACAGGGCACACGCTGAGAAACCGTGACAATAGTATAACAGTAGTTTTCTTTTATTGAAACCAACGTGAAAAGGAGATAGACGGGGGCTTTAACAACCTTACGGAAAAGAGACAATGAAAGCATAGTAACGGACTTGCTGGCACCATACATCTAAAAAGAAAGTCTCAAATCGCGGCAAAGTGGTCCTTTTTCTTCCTCTGTGCGTAAAAAAAAAAAAAAAACGACTGAACCTGACTAACTGATTTCGTGTTCTTTCACCTAGTTAGCGTTTGCGGCTCAGACGTTGAGAACGCGCTATGTATTCCCGAAATAACTGGTTCGTATCAACATGCAGGCTATTTGAAAGCGTGCTGCTTTACACTGATTTTGACACTGATGTATAGAGCCGATCGTTTAGTCAGCAATGGCAAACTACTTTACGTAAAGTTATCTAGCTACACCACAAACAGCCCAAAAAAATCGATGGGGTTAGTTTTACGAAGACTTGTAAAGGAAAGGCAACTAACCTAACTTTTACCTATGCCATTAGGCAACCTGAAAACAGGCTTTTAGTAGCCGAGTTTTACTGGTATAGCATCCAAGCCCTCAAAGCTTTCCGTAAATACTGACATTGTTAAAATAATTTACAAATTATGTTTGTCAAAAAGTTCTAAATTTCATTTGCTCCTTTTTTTTCCAGCGTGGTGGTCACACACTGATAGCTGCCCAGCAACAAAATCGGTTTCCAACACAAAATATCAACGCTCAACAACCACCCACGTTTTTGACATCCCCGGATGTTCAAAATCAACCGGTTCAAGGCCAGGTGTTTCAAGGTCTACCCTCGCAGGGACAAATATTTCCGGGTCAACAGGTTCAAGGACAAGTGGTTCTAGGTCACCCTGGGTATCCGCAACTATTCCAAGGAACACCTGTACAAACACAAGGAGGGCAGCCTCTACAGGGACAGACAGTTCAGGGGAATTATCTTCAGCCTCCAGTCTTAGCACAAGTTCAAGGTTAAATTAACTAGAGTCCACCTTTAGCTGCCCCGTTATACTAATTTTTATCCCGGCACTGACTCTTACTGATATATGGCGAAATCTCTTTGACAGTCACAAGTCGACAGTAAGTTCGCTGACAATTTTTATTTTTAAATGATCCAGAGTATTTTATTGTCATGTTACAGGACAGCTTCGAGACAGTTGTGTCAGTTATATGTTTTTTTTTTAAATCATTATCATTATCATCATCACAATACGGCCTTTGAAGAACCAGGCTCTCACCACGTGAACGTGGCTCTCTTCACGTCAGTAACAGTAAGCGCCCTTTGAATCTTTTCCATATTATATGTAGATGTGTTGAAAAATAAACAAGAAGATAACTGATTTTTCATCTATGATTAATGAATGACAAGGCAAATTTAGTAAAGGCACTTTGCAATACACAAACACTTCGGGAGAGGAAACAGATCACCACAAGAAGAATGCACATGGTAGTGACCAAAGGATCTATTAGACCTTCGATGCTCAGAGGAAAAACAGGAAGATCAAATAATCATATCATAAGTTGCATCATTACTACTGGAACTCTGCGCTAGCTGCTGACAGTGTAGGCAGGACATTGATAGGAAAGTCCTGAGTGATGTGATGTGGTTACGTAAATCTTTACATGTCGCAACCAGCCGGGGATATCATCGGTCATTCTTCAGTTTCCATGTCTCAAGCATTGTCAAGAACGTCTTAGTTATTTAGTTTTTTTGTCGCAGTTCCAATCTCATGGCAAAAAGGCCACCCCATACTTTTCTGTGCCATTGAAAACCACACAAAATCAGTGCATTATTGATATAAACATACGTTTCTTCTTCATTGCATATTGTTATCACACAATGATGAATATGTCTGTCCGCGTGTATCATTAAGTTCATCGATTGTAAAAACTCCATACATGTATGTGTAATGCATTAAAGGACATTGACCGCGAAGAATGAGTCTGTTCTGTTTTGGCTTTCCGCAGGGTCGTTTTATTTTTAACAATGGCGTTGACGGTGAAAATGATGAAAATGATGACGAAAGGGATGATGATGGGCAAAATGATGATAGTGATGATGACAATGGTAGTGATTGTGGTGTTTGTGATATAGATGGTGATGATGGTGGCGGTAGTGGTAGCGAGGGGAAGGGTTTGTTATCTGATGATGCTAGGGGCGTTGATTATGTTGTTGTTGACGATGATGATGGTGGTGGTAGTGGTAGTGAGGGGACGGGTTGGTTATATGATGATGCTAGGGGCGTTGATTATGATTTTGTTGACGACGATGACGGTGGGGTAGTGCTTGTGCTGGCGACGATCATGACGACGATGGTGGTAGTGATGACATGTGTGATGGTAATGGTGACGGTGGTAGTGATGGCATTTGTGATGGTAATGGTGACGGTGGTAGTGATGACATTTGTGATGGTAATGGTGACGGTGGTAGTGGTGGCATTTGTGATGGTAATGGTGATGGTGGTAGGTGATGGCATTTGTGATGGTAATGGTGATGGTGGTAGTGATGACATTTGTGATGGTAATGGTGACGGTGGTAGTGATGGCATTTGTGATGGTAATGGTGATGGTGGTAGGTGATGGCATTTGTGATGGTAATGGTGATGGTGGTAGTGATGACATTTGTGATGGTAATGGTGACGGTGGTAGTGATGGCATTTGTGATGGTAATAGTGACGGTGGTAGTGATGGCATTTGTGATCGTAATGGTGACGGTGGTAGTGATGATGATGGTGACGGTGGTAGTGATGGTTTTTGTGATGGTAATAGTGACGGTTGTAGTAATAACATTTGTGATGGTAATGGTGATGGTGGTAGTGATGGTTTTTGTGATGGTAATAGTGACGGTTGTAGTAATAACATTTGTGATGGTAATGGTGATGGTGGTAGTGATGGCATTTGTGATGGTAATGGTGATGGTGATAGTGATGACATTTGTGATGGTAATGGTGACGGTGGTAGTGATGGCATTTGTGATGGTAATAGTGACGGTGGTAGTGATGGCATTTGTGATGGTAATGGTGACGGTGGTAGTGATGATGATGGTGACGGTGGTAGTGATGGTTTTTGTGATGGTAATAGTGACGGTTGTAGTAATAACATTTGTGATGGTAATGGTGATGGTGGTAGTGATGGCATTTGTGATAGTAATAGTGACGGTGGTGGTGATAACGAAGGTGATGGTGGGGTGTTGGTTGTGGTGTTGTTAATAATGATGGTGGTGGTGGTGGTGATGATGATGGTGGTGGGGTCGGTAGTGATGATGATGATGGTGTTGAGGATAAAATGACGACAATGATGGACGATGGTGTTGGTGTTGATGATGACGTTGATGATGATGCAGGTGGTAGTGATTAAAATTGCAACTGTGAAGGTGCTGGTGATGCTGATGAGGATGAAAGTGGTGGCGGTGATGATGGTAGTACCTGGGTTGATAGTGATGATGATATAATTTTGCGGGGTGTGGTTATTGTTCTGATGATGGTGGTGGTGATGGTTTTGAATGTGCTTCTGGTTGTGGTAGTCGTGGAGGTGGCAGAAAGGGCAAACTCGGTGTGTAATTCAACAGGGTAGTTTAATCTAGGAAGTCTGGGCGACGGACAAGTATATTAGGAAGGATAACACCAGAAGGATAACACCAGCTAGGACAACGATTGCGCCATCGACTGAAATGTCAAAGATTTAGACTACACCAGCTGTAGTCGTGGAGGTGGCAGAAAGGGTAAACTCGGTGTGTAATTCAACAGGGTAGTTTAATCTAGGAAGTCTGGGCGACGGACAAGTATATTAGTTAAGAGAAGGATAACACCAGCTAGGACAACGATTGCGCCATCGACTGAAATGTCAAAGATTCAGACTACAACACCAGCTGTTTTGTGAGGGACATCCTTAAATACGTTTGGAAAAACCATGCAAAAATCGCGCTACGTGTGAAAATTCCCAAACGTGCGGAAATCGCCACATATGTACGGAAATCCCGAAACACGAGGGGAAATCCCTGAAAAAGGTATGGAAATACCCAAAACACGCAGTCCTCTAAACCACGGCCGACTATATTTATCTGGAGAAGATGGTGTCTATACCCGCAATCTGGATTAACACACACATACACACCAAGAGAGAAAGAGAGAGAGAGAGAGAGAGAGAGAGAGAGAGAGAGAGAGAGAGAGAGAAAGAGAGAGAGAGAGAGAGAGACTCATCATGATCATTATGTATAAGTTTAGTTATAATTGTGGTTTATTATCTTCTGCACCAAGTTCAGTCGCTTGAATGGATAACAGTGCCAATTGTTGTGGCTACCTGTTATTTTCTCGCTGTATGATGTTGTCACTCAGAGAATGTCTGGGTTCTTTACCCTGATCCTGTGGTCCAGTTGGAGGTTTCGCTTTTCATGTCTATTTTCTTCTTTTGTGTGTAATTGTGTTTCCTGTAAGTGAGGCTGCACTCCTTATATCTTATGTGGGGGGGTCCCTTCCAAGGGTATTTATTTCCTGTCCTCGGTCCTTGAGATCCCGTTCTCTTTTATGTCACTGTTGGGTGTCCACCTCGTCCTATTTAGGATCCCTTTTTGAGTTTATTAAATTTTGTCTTTTCATAACTTATTTGAAGTCAACCAAATTGTGCTAAATCTGCTGCATCATCTGTTTTCCTTGCATGTCATTGCTGAACAATTTCGTCAGCAAAATCAAGACCTTCTGTGTATTGTCCATCTATTAAATGTCGGTGATTCCAATACCCAACAGTTCGTCACCCAATCAATGGTTTTGCCAAATAACCAGAAATCATGAGTTGAACATGAGTTGTTAACCTTTTGGCTCGGTACTGTGGATATCGCAACCCTTCGACCTTAATTCCATTAAACATTAAATCTGGGAGGAATGTGGCTTTTCTGCCTATCTACGGGCGTGAACCCGGACCACAAGGAGCTCGTCAGCCGGTCGCCTCGCAATCAGGTTTAACCAACTGAGCTAGTGAGCCGGGAAAAGAGAAGATAAAAATGCATTAATATTTCACTTCAGTATCAACTTCAAACTAATCATTTAAATCTTTGAACTTTCACACACTGCCTCTACAATATTTTATTACTTTCATTTGTGGCATTCCAAAATTCCCCATAGTGATGTTCTATGTAAACTATCACAAGCCTTCTTAAAGTCAATGAAAATATTTTTTAGAAGGGGCATTTTTTTTTTTTTTAATTAATTCTTCAACAATAAGTCTCAGAGTAAATATTTAATCTTATCAGCTTCTTCAAGATCTAAAAAAAAAAAAAAAAGTGTAAAATGTAGAATTGTGCTAAATGGCAATACGGTTGAACGGGGTTTCCCGGATTTATGCCTGCTTCATTCTCATCCTTGCGAGATGAACCAGACTGCAATCTTGGGGGGAGGGGGTTGGGTGAGGGGGGGGGGGGTGGCGGAGTGGGGGTGGGGAGAGACTATTGTAGTTCGTTCAACAACTCATAGGCACATTTGCAAGCCATTTTTCCGAAAACTGTCTGTTAGATCGCAACGACTTTTAGCAAGGAGCCTTAGAAAATCCATGACGCAAAAACAGATGCTCTGGATAATGAAAACCTATTCCTTGCATCTTTTCGAACCATTCTAAATAAGTTGAGTGAACTATTCTATTTTACAGTAAACGTCTCAATTTCCCGCTGTATTTTTTTTCCATAATACATTGATAGGTGAAGTAAATTTATATGTTGTCATTTATGTTCGACTGAGTTGAGTTGAGTTGAGCTGAGTCAAGAAAGACATCACAGCAATTGGGGCTTCCCATATGCGCTCCGTACCCATCTTCAGCAGCCAGCGCAAAGTTCCAAAACAAATTGTACCAGACGCAGTCTCATTATATGTCCATCTTGCCTTTCCTCTGAGTGTAGTGTGCCGGCCAGGCCCTCTGGTGTATCATTTTCCCAAAGGCATGGTAATCATTTTATGTTCTAACTTCGTTACGTGTTCCCAAAGTGCCCAT